GGTTCCAAAGGGGCCAGTTCTTAAGAGGACACAACAACCCTAAATGCTTATCCACTAGGGAAAAGTGAGACAAACTAAAATAATAAATTATCTGCTTGAGTTACCACATTTGGGCTATCTAATTCAAAATAATTTTTTTTTAAAGATTTTATTTATTTATTTGAGAGAGAGAGACACAGCGAGAGAGGGAACACAAGCAGGGGGAGTGGGAGAGGGAGAAGCAGGGGGAGTGGGAAAGGGAGAAGCAGGCCTCCCGCCGAGCAGGGAGCCCGATGCGGGGCTCCATCCCACGACCCTGGGATCATGACCTGAGCCGAAGGCAGACGCTTAACAACTGAGCCACCCAGGCGCCCCTCAAAATAATTTTTTGACGACAGAGGAAAATACTTAGTTGGGAGGAAATCCTCCATGAACACTGCTTCATCTCTGTGTGGCCCAGGCTTTCCGAGCAGAGGACACTGGCCAGCTGAGTGGCAAAGGCCTTGGAAGGCAGTCACAGTGTCTGCCTAAAGACAGAGGTGCCCAGAGAGATGTGCAGATGGAAAGCTCACTGCTTCCCATGTCTGGAGACACCTGCTAACTTTCCAAGGTAATAAAGCTGGTAACACCTTCCCCCTGAACCCTGGAGGCGATCTGCTTAGTGAGCCATCTCCCTCGCTCCAGGGTAGAGCAGACACAGGCGTGAGAGCAGCTCCTGCTAAACTGAGTCTCATAACTTTAGGGTTCCCCTGCTGGGAGGCAACCTCTGCAAGTGACAGGGTAATCGGTAGCTCTCACTGCATCTCCCTGTGGGGACTGGAGCTCAGAAAACTAGTATTAAGGTAGTGCCCTGACTGCTGCATTTTGCTGTGAATGATAAATCGTATCTTCCTCGGGGCGCCTGGGTGGCTCAGTTGGTGAGGCGTCTGCCTTCGGCTCTGGTCATGATCTCAGGGTCCTGGATCGAGCCCCACATCAGGCTCCCGGCTCAGCGGGAAGCCTGCTTCTCCCTCTGCCCCTCCCCTCTGCTTGTGCTCTCCCTCTCTCAAATAAACAAATAAATAAAATCTTTAAAAAAACAACATATCTTTCTCTAATCCCGCAAGCTTCATGTCTCCTGTCACTATATATATGTACATACATATGTATAGTAATTCTCAGACACATCACAGTTTCTGACTTAACACACTCGTGAGAACAAAAATCACCAGAGTTCTACCACTCAGAGATAACCACAATTCATATTTTGGTGTACATGCTTCTGAATCTTCTAATTTTCTGTAATAAGCATCTCTAGTCCTTTTGCTTTTTAAGACTAAAAAGCTTAGGGGTTCAATCAGTGAAGCATGCGGATTCTTGATCTCAGGGTCATGAGTTCGAGCCCCATGTTGGGTATAGAGATTACCCAAAATAAATAAAATTAAAAAAAAAAAAGACCGTAAGAAGTTTTAACTTTGTTGGGTTTTTTTTAAGATTATTTATTTATTTGAGAGAGAGAGAGAGAGAGAGAGAGAGAGAGCGAGCATTCAAGCAGGAGGGAGGATGGGGGAGGGGCAGAGGGAGAGGGAGAGTCTCAAGTAGACTCCCCGCTGAGTGCAGAGCCTGACACAGGGCTCGATCCACAACCCCAAGACCACAACCTGAGCCAAAATCAAGAGTCCGATGCTTAACTGACTGAGCTACCCAGGTGCCCCAACTTTGTTTTTTAAGAAGGGAACATCTATCAATCTATGACATCTTCCCAGGCAATTAAGGTAGAAAATGTGCCCGAAAAAAGAACGGTAGACTTAAGAGTCATCAAAGGAAAAAATAAACGGTTCGGGACAAGTACACAGAGTTAAAAAAGGAGACAAGCTGCAAAGGACACATGACAACAAAGATGGAAAAAACAACCTGCCAAGGGAGAGGTCACAGAGAGCCAGGATCCAGAAGGCAATTATTCAAAGAAAGTATGTCCTAGATACCCAGGGGATCACACGAAAATGATTTTTAATTTCATAAAAAAGGCATCGCCTAACAGAGCATCAAAGTCTAACTGCAAACCATCACAGAGAACCCTCAGAGCAACTCAAGGGGGACATCTCTGAAAGAGAAAAAACGTGAAACATACCCTTATTATCCTGGCCGCCTCCAAAAGAACTCGACAGCGCTCCATGCCAGATTTCTGACTCCATATTTTAAAGGCGGCCTTGGCATCTTGCACAGCCAAATTTACTTCCTTCTCTCCTGAGCAAGTGAAGGTGGCTATCACTCGGCCTGTAACCGGAAACACAGTGTTATCTCCAACTGTCACCTCCCATTTAAAGAAAGTACTGTGGGGGCGCCTCGGTGGCTCAGTCGTTAAGCGTCTGCCTTGGGCTCAGGTCATGATCCCGGGGTCCTGGGATCAAGCCCCACATCCGGCTCCCTGCTCAGCGGGAGGCCTGCTTCTCCCTCTCCCACTCCCCCTGTCTGAGTTTCCTCTCTCGCTGTGTCTCTCTCTGTCAAAGAAATAAAATCTTAAAATAAATAAATAAAATAAAGAAAGTACTGTGTATCCAAATTCCCTTTTAGTGACCCCCTTCTTGTTTTCAACTATGGTTTGATTTCATGACCACCCCTATGCCAACAGTTCTTAACTCTGTTTTGAGGTGACTGAACCCTTTAGGAATCGAACAAAAGGGGGTGCCTGGGTGGCTCAGTCATTAAGCATCTGCCTTTGGCTCAGGTCGTGGTCCCAGGGTCCTGGGATCGAGCCCCGCTTCGGGCTCCCTGCTCCGCGGGAAGCCTGCTTCTCCCTCTCCCACTCCCCCTGCTTGTGTTCCCTCTCTCGCTGTGTCTCTCTCTGTCAAATAAACAAAATATTTAAAAAAAAAAAAGAATCTAACAAAAGGTGCAGACTTCTCTCTAGAAAACTGTACTTCACTGCATCACAGAATTAAAGAGAGAATGTGTCCTTGCCCTAAGCACAGCACAAACTTCAGGTTAGGAACCCCTTCCTCCTCTATTTTATAGCTGGGTTTTGAAACTCTCCTTAACAATGTTTGAGAATCAGGGGCGCCTGGGTGGCTCAGTCGTTAAGCGTCTGCCTTCGGCTCAGGTCATGATCCCAGGGTCCTGGGATCGAGCCCCGCATCGGGCTCCCTGCTCCGCGGGAAGCCTGCTTCTCCCTCTCCCACTCCCCCCTGCTTGTGTTCCCTCTCTCACTGTATCTCTCTGTCAAATAAATAAAATCTTTAAAAAAACCAAAAACAATGTTTGAGAATCTCAGGGGTCTTGCAAAATCAAAGTTGAAAGTCCTCAGTCCCCTGGGTTATAAATTCTGATTTGATATCACTGGTCTATGTTCTACATAAGTCGTATCATACTACTGAGACACTCACTTCATGAGTGTGGTTAATAAACAGTAATATCGGGAAAACCTATCCTTAAACACAAGAAAAAATTTTTCTCATGGGGCGCTTGGGTGGCTCAGATGGTTAAGCGTCTGCCTTCAGCTCAGGTCATGATCCCAGGGTCCTGGGATCGAGCCCCCGCATCGGGCTCCTGGCTCAGTGGGGGGCCTGCTTCTCCTTCTCTGTCCGCCTCTTCCCCTGCTCATGCTCTGTCTTTCTGTCTGTATCTCTGTGTCTCAGATGAATAAATAAAATCTTAAAGAAAAAATTTTTCTCAAAAGTCTCTCCTTTTCTTACTCCAACCTTATTCCCTATCCCGATGCAAAATATGAACCCCGCATCCCAAGGGTTGTGACTGCCTCTACCAACAGGAATTACTTTAAGTACACCAAATCGGCAGTTCCTTTTCCATCCCCCAAGAACTCCAGGGACTCTGCTTTTTCCAGGAAGATTTCACAAGCCTGCCATTTGTTACAAATTTGAATAGCTAGTTGGTAAGGGCAGTGGCTAAGGATTGCACACACTGTAGGTAATTAAAATAAAGAGCAATTTTTCCTTCTCCTGTAGGACTACAGGGATGGGGGTGGAGAGGCTGTTTCCTCTGCAAGAGTCCACTGACCCCTGGGGTCCCTTCCTGCTCTGACAAGGTTACTACTGCTCCGTGGTTTAGCGGGATGGATCAATCCTAAATTCTGCAGCCCTTCGCAATCCAGTTGTGTCCCTCTGGCCACCTGCCATTCTGGTTTGCACAACACATTTACATTTTTCTCCCCATAAATATTACATAAATCTCAACAAAACAAACATAAACCAAAAACCAAAACCTCTTCCTCATTAGCTGTGTGATCCTCAGAATTCTGAGAGCAAATCCAGGGCCCAGCACGGGTATTTGCCAGGTATTTGGCAACCTCAAGCACTGGATAAAACCTGGGCTTTTTTCCCTTTCCCAATTCTAATTCATGCAAGAAATATTTTAACGCTAGGAGATCGCAACAAAGCCCTCATTCAGGCTCCTTAGAGTCATCTGTGAATGCTTCTCCATTCTCGGCACTAATGTTTTCACCTGCGTCCTTCTGGAAATCCTAATCCTTTCCCATGCAAAGTTGAATACATTACTGCCGTTCTAACTTTAAAAATTAATAACTAACAGGGGCACAACCTCACGCACCGTGGCTTTGTAGACTCTTCAGGCCGTTGTAGCACGACCTACGATCCCCCCCCGCGACGCAACTCACCAGCTTTACCAGTTTTCTAGACTCTCTCCCTGTTCCTGTCCAGATGCATTCGCGTTTGCACGGAGTCCTTAGCGGCCTGCACACACAACTCTATTCTCCACACCGTCACTCACTTATGCCCAGCAAACGTCTGCCGAACGCACTAAATGAAGGTTCAAGGCAGTAGAACACCTCCACGAGTGGGGCGGGGAAGCGCCCAGGCCCCGCCGCCGCCCCCCTGCACCGCCGCCCAGGCCCCGCAGTCCGGTCTCCGCCCGGTTACCGGTTGCCGGCTCGAACGCCTTCTCGGTGCCGGAGGCGTCCGCCGGATCCACGCGGGCCCCGCCGCGGTAATTGAGCGGCTGCGACACAACGAAAGTGCCAGTGCTCATGGCCGCAGCAGGAGCAGGCCGAAGCGTGCGGAGAAGCGGAGCGAGCGCAGCGCAGCGGGCTCGGAGACACATGGGAGCCGGACGCAGCGGGCGGCGGGGAGGAGCGAGACGGAAGGAGAGGCTGGCGGGGAGAGGCGGGGCGGGCAGGGCGGGGCCGCGGGCAGAGGCGGAGCTGGCGCGGAGGGGCGGGGCCGCGGAGAGAAGGGGCGAGCAGCTGGGCCCTCCAGGACGCGAGAGGGGCGGGTCCGCGGGGCTGTTGGGGAGGAGCTGGGGGAGAGGCGGGGCTGACGGGGAGAGGCGGGGCCGCGGGGTCTGGAGGGGAGGAGCGGGGGGAGAGGCGGGGCTGACGGGGAGAGGCGGGGCCGCGGGGGCTGGGGGAGGGGCGGGGCAGTGGAGAGGCAGGGCGAGGGGCGGGGCCCTCAGGGCCGGGACGGGGCCGGCGGGGAAGGGAGGGGCGGGCCCGGCGGGGCGGGGAGGCAGGGAGAACGGATGCCCGTCACCCCGGGGCGTACCCCAGCTTTAAGGGCCTCCAGGTGAGGAGCAGGGTCTGGGAGACTCAGTGGCGTAGGTTCCTAGGCGGTCCAGGTCAGTCCCTCGCTTAGCCAGAAGGATGGGGACACACACACACACACACACACACACACACACACACACACGGAAAATGAGAACCATGTGAGGAGATGCACAGGTGAATTAGTTTGATCGTGGTGATTATTTCACAGTGTATACCTATATCAAAACATCAGGTCGTACACCTTAAATATATACAATTTTTGTCAATTATACCTCAGTAAAGATAAGAAGGGAAAAAAAGATCTGAGAAAACCCAGAGAATGTTAAGTCCTTGACTGTAATACTGTTTCATCTGCTCTCCTCCATGTCCTCATCCGAGGAAGTTGACACTTCTGTTTCCAATGATGATGCAATAACAGGGACTAGATATATCTTCTTGTCTTAAACAACTAGAAAACTGGGCTAAATATAGGAAGCAATAATTTACAGATACAGGACAAGAGGTAACATAGGATAGTGGTCCAAAGTGAGCCCTTCAAGCTTCCCAGCTGTCTGCCTAAAAAGAGTTTCCAGGCCACAGGGCAGGGAGAGGGAACCCAAATAGAGGCCAGCCACCTTCCTGAACAAGGAGACAGAATTTCCAGCTCACGAATATGAAGGGGGCTAAAGAGGAAGGAGCTATACAAAGAGAGCTTTGGAGATCAGCAGAGAGCGCCCTTGATTTGAAGGCTAAGTACTGATCTATAGTACTATAAAGTACGTATTACGGTACTCAGTAGGGAGGAGACAATTCAGGGCTGAGGAAACACCCACCAGAAAGGGATAAGCAGGAAAATCCCTTGAGCTCATATGGGACTGGGAATTGTTGTGTTCCCACCAGCCAGAATAGAAAGACCGTATAAGAGAGGGCACTGTGTAGGGTCCTCAGAAGGATATTGCCTTAATAGTGGGGTCACATCAGCCCCAGTGGCTACTCTGGGTCTGCTGTAACAATGCTTATCAGCAAGTCTCAGAAGGATCCAATCAATTCCAAGTAACTCATCTGTGCCCCAGAACAAAAACGCCCAAATATTTAAAGGAATACAACAAAGTCTAGCACCTAAAAAAGTATAACCCTGAATGTCTAGAGCCAACCAAAAATTATCATGTATGCAAACAACCAGGAGAGAAATCAATCAAAAGAAAGACCCAGAAACCGCAGACGACAGAATTAATAGAAAAGGATGTTAAAAGTTATCATAAAAGTACTCAATATGCTTATGAAGGTAGAGGAAAAAATAAACATCATGAGGAGGAAAAGATACATAAAAGATCTATATCAAACTTCTGGAGATGAAAAACATAATATCTGAAATTTAAAAACATACCAAGTGGGATTAACAGATGCTGCAGAGGAAAAGATTAATGGGTTTGAAGACATGGCAGTAGACATTCTCCAAAATGAAACACAAAGAGAAAAAAAAGACTGGAAAATACAATAAACAGAGCATTTCTGGGCCGTGGGGCACTATCTAGTGACCTAATATGTATGTAATTGGTCTCAGAAGTGGGGGCATTGGGAGGTGGAAAGAAAAACATTTCGAAGAAATAATGGTCAACATTTTTCCAAATTTCTTTTTTTTTTAAAGATTTTATTTATTTATTCATGAGAGACAGAGAGAGAGAGAGGCAGAGAGAGAGAGAGACACAGAGAGAGAGAAAGGCAGAGGGAGAAGCAGGCTCCCAAGGAGCAGGGAGCCCGATGCGGGACTCGATCCCAGGACTCCAGGATCATGACCTGAGCCGAAGGCAGACGCCCAACCATCTGAGCCACCCAGGCGCCCAACATTTTTCCAAATTTCATGAAAACTATAAATTTAGCAATCCAAGTTCAATGAACTTCAAGCAGAAGAAATATTAACTACAGCAAAACACGTCCTATTTGAAATACTAGAAACCTGTAATGAATAGAAATCCTCAAGCAGTTGCTAAGGAGTGTGCCTTCTGGAGGACTATTTGACTTTCGCACCCTGATGTCTGCAAGTTTGGGAGCACAAGATTTGTTTTAACAAACACTTCTTTTTCAGCCAGGCTCCCTGTGGTTTCTTCAGGAATACTCTCACTTTAAAAACCTACAAGGCATTTATTTACTCTGCTTCTATCCAGTCCATGTCTCAGGAGCCATACACAGAGGTCTTTTCTAGATGGAGTCCTTAACCTGTTTCATGACAGGCTTCCTTGCCCCTAAGCTCCTCTTTCCCAATTTAGTGGCACCTGCCTTGAAACCGCCTGAAACAACTGGGCAAGATTGGAATGAGATCTTTGTTGGCCTGAGATGTCTTAATGAGAGGCTGCTGAGACAAGGCCAAAAAGTCTTGTCCCTTGCTATTTATGCAATTGAAGCAGTTGGCTTTTCAATATCTACAGGGTCCCAAATTCTGGACTCTTCGTTCCCTTCTTTTTCTTCAAAACCCATAGAGTCTAACCTGAGCTCCTTTCTTCCTAGTAATACCTAGCTAAAAACAGCAAAAGGCAGCCACCTCATACCTTCTGGCTCATTCCAACCACCTACTCTAGAAGTACGGGCACAATGGGAACTATATCTGCCTTTCAAGTTACCACAGAAACCGTTCCACGAACGTTTTACCAAAACACTAGCTTTTCAGCTGGTGATATCAGTTACTAACCTTCTGCTATGCATCTACTAAGCCAATGCCTGTGTTTTAGGTGTTATTTTATTTTATTTAAGATTTATTTATTTTAGGGGCGCCTGGGTGGCCCATCGATTAAGCGTCTTGCCTTCAGCTCAGGTCATGGTCCCGGGGCCCTGGGATCGAGCTCCGCATCGGGCTCCCTGCTCCGCGGGAAGCCTGCTTCTCCCTCTCCCTCTGCTGCTCCCCCTACTTGTGCCCCCTCTCTCTCTGACAAATAAACAAATAAAAACTTTTTAAAAAAAGATTTATTTATTTTAGAGAGAGAGAGCATGAGAGCATGGGCAGGTGGGGGGGAAGAGGGAGAGGGAGAATCCTCGAGCAGACTCTCTGCTGAGCATCCCGAAGCGGGGCTTGATCCCAGTGATGTGGGAAACAAAGGCAGAAGAAAAATTATAAAACTTCCTTACTACCAGGGCACCTGGGTGGCTCGGTCGTTAAGCATCTGCCTTCGGCTCAGGTCATGATCCCAGGGTCCTGGGATCGAGCCCTGCATCGGGCTCCTTGCTCGGCGGGAAGCCTGCTTCTCCAGCTCCCACTCCCCCTGCTTGTGTTCCCTCTCTCGCTGTCTCTCTCTGTGTGTCAAATAAATAAATAAAATCTTTAAAAAAAATAAAAACTAAATTTCCTTCCTACCTACAACCCATTGACAAGTCCTTGAAACAGGCAGAGTGCATTCCTCTAGGGACTCAACTGCCTCGATGTTGACACTTGGCTAAGGGCAAAAGGCAATCTTAGCCTGAACACCCCCCTTCCCTGCCCCAGGATCCTGTAAGTCTACTTTAACATATAAAAATTCCTTTGGAAATTTCCTTTATCTCTACCCCCCAAGATAAGTGTTGGCAATCATCCCCCAAGCATATGGTCCACCGATACACATCTGAAGGTTTGTGACGAAGGTTTTATTAGATGGTAATAAACGCCCTTTTCCCAACAATAGCTAGCCCTCTCAAGGTCCTGGAAACCTTGCTTCCAAAATTCCTTAGAGACTTACGCTCTCCCTAACCCCTTCCCAACTTGGAAGTATGTAATGGGCCACTGCTCATGACCCCAGTGCTGCTCTTTCAGGCCACGGGGCCTGTCCCTGTGCTTTAATAGAATCACCTTTTTGCACCAAAGACATCTCGAGAATTCTTTCTTGGCCGTCGGCTTCAAATCCTAACCTTCTTTCCTACATCACCAGGACCCTGAGATCATGACCTGAGCTGAAACCAAGAGTTGGCTGCTTAACTGACTGAGCCACCCAGACACCCCTTAGGTGTTTTTTATTTTTTTATTTAGAGATTTTATTTATTTATTTATTTGAGAGAGAGAGAGAGCATGAGAGAGAGATCACAAGGTGTTTATTTTAAATAGCATTCTGCTTCAGGGTACCAATTTCTGTATGAGTCAGAGTATGTTAAACTAGTTTATTAAACAAATCTAAAATGCAATAACTTGAAAACAGTAGAAATTTATTTACAACTTACCTAACAGTCCAGGGACATCTAGGTGAGAATGTTCAAGATCTGTGGAGCCAGAGTGGGGAGGAGGGAGCTCAGCTGCACAGAGTTACTGAAGGAATCAGGATGCCGGCATCAACATGTGGTTTCCAAGGATGTTCTCAGTGTCACCCTGCCGGTCATCCAGAAAAGAAAAAGAGCAAGAAGGTGTAATGGGTCAGTCATGGAAGTGGCTCATATCACTTTGCTTCCCCACCCAGTGGGGAGAAATTCGTTGCATGGCTATACCGAAGTGTCACTCATAGTTAGTTAACTAGTTAGTTAGCCAAGTACGCATTTGGGAACACAGCTAGCCAGCTCCACCACAGATGTTCTGTTAGTCAGGGTTTCCCGGAGAAACAGATTCAATAGGATGTATTATGTAGACAGAATGAGAGAGACAGAGAGAGGTTTTAAG